GATATGCGTATCTCCCTCATACAGACCTGATGTGACAGGGTGTGATGTGCGTATCTCCCTCATACAGACCTGATGTGACAGGGTGTGATGTGCGTATCTCCCTCATACAGGCCAGATGTGACAGGATGTGGCGTGCTTATCTCCCTCATACAGAACCGATGTGACAGGGTGTGATATGTGTATTCCCCTCATACAGGCCATATGTGACAGGGTGTGATGTGCGTATCTCCCTCATAGGGATCAGATGTGACATGGTGTGATATGCGTATCTCCCTCATACAGACGGGATGTGTCTGAGGCTGTACAGGCCAGATTTGACAGGATGTGATGTGCGTATCTCCCTCAAGCAGGCCAGATTTGAGAAGGTATGATGTCTGTATCTTTCTCATACAGACAAGATGTGACAGGGTGTAATGTGCGTATCTCCCTCATACAGGCCAGATTTGACAGGGTGTGACGTGCGTATCTCCCTCATACGGGCAAGATGTGACAGATTGTGATGTGCGTATCTCCCTCATACAGAACCGATGTGACAGGGTGTGATGTGCGTATCTCCCTCATACGGGCCAGATGTGACAGATTGTGATGTGCGTATCTCCCTCATGCAGAACCGATGTGAAAGGCTGTGATGTGTGTATCTCCTTCATACAGACAAGATGTATCAGGGTGTGATGTGCATGCCTCTTTCATACAGATCAGATGTGACAGGGTGTGATATGCGTATCTCCCTCATACAGACCTGATGTGACAGGGTGTGATGTGCGTATTTCCCTCATACAGAACCGATGTGACAGGGTGTGATATGTGTATTTCTCTCATACAGGCCAGATGTGACAGGGTGTGATGTGCGTATCTCCCTCATACAGAACCGATGTGACAGGGTGTGATGTGCGTATCTCCCTCATACAAAACAGGTGTGACAGGATGTGATGTGTATGTCTCACTCATAGAGACCAGATGAGACAGGGCGTGATCTGTGTGTCGCTCTCATACAAAACCGATGTGACAGGGTGTGATGCGCGTATGTCCCTCATACAGGCCAGATGTGACAGGATGTGGCGTGCGTATCTCCCTCATACAGTCCAGATGTGACAGATTGTGATGTGCGTATCTCCCTCATACAGAACCGATGTGACAGGGTGTGATATGTGTATTTCCCTCATACAGGCCATATGTGACAGGGTGTGATGTGCGTATCTCCCTCATAGGGATCAGATGTGACATGGTGTGATATGCGTATCTCCCTCATACAGACGGGATGTGTCTGAGGCCGTACAGGCCAGATTTGACAGGATGTGATGTGCGTATCTCCCTCAAGCAGGCCAGATGTAACAGGGTGTGATGTGCGTATCTCCCTCATACAGAACCGATGTGAAAGGGTGTGATGTGTGTGTTTCTCCTTCATGCAGACAAGATGTATCAGGGTGTGACGTGCATGCCTCTTTCATACAGATCAGATGTGACAGGGTGTGATATGCGTATCTCCCTCATACAGACCTGATGTGACAGGGTGTGATGTGCGTATCTCCCTCATACAGACCTGATGTGACAGGGTGTGATGTGTGTATCTCCCTCATACAAAACAGGTGTGAGAGGATGTGATGTCTGTGTCTCTCTCATAGAGACCAGATGTGACAGGGCGTGATCTGTGTTTCTCTCTCATACAAAAACCGATGTGACAGGATGTGATGTGCGTATCTCCCTCATACAGGCCAGACGTGACAGAATGTGGCGTGCGTATCTCCCTCATACAGTCCAGATGTGACAGATTGTGATGTGCGTATCTCCCTCATACAGAACCGATGTGACAGGGTGTGATATGTGTATTTCCCTCATACAGGCCATATGTGACAGGGTGTGATGGGCGTATCTCCCTTATAGGGATCAGATGTGACAGGGTGTGACGTGCGTATCTCCCTCATACAGAACAGGTGTGACAGGATGTGATGTGTGTGTGTCTCTCATAGAGACCAGATGAGACCGGGCGTGATCTGTGTTTCTCTCTCATACAAAACCGATGTGACAGGGTGTGATGTGCGTATCTCCCTCATACAAAACCGGTGTGACAGGATGTGATGTGTGTGTCTCTCTCATAGAGACCAGATGAGACAGGACGTGATCTGTGTTTCTCTCTCATACAAAACCGATGTGACAGGGTATGATGTGCGTATCTCCCTCATACAGGCCAGATGTGACAGGATGTGGCGTGCGTATCTCCCTCATACAGAACCGATGTGACAGGGTGTGATATGTGTATTTCCCTCATACAGGCCATATGTGACAGGGTGTGATGTGCGTATCTCCCTCATAGGGATCAGATGTGACATGGTGTGATATGCGTATCTCCCTCATACAGACGGGATGTGTCTGAGGCCGTACAGGCCAGATTTGACAGGATGTGATGTGCGTATCTCCCTCAAGCAGGCCAGATTTGAGAAGGTATGATGTCTGTATCTTTCTCATACAGACAAGATGTGACAGGGTGTAATGTGCGTATCTCCCTCATACAGGCCAGATTTGACAGGGTGTGACGTGCGTATCTCCCTCATACGGGCAAGATGTGACAGATTGTGATGTGCGTATCTCCCTCATACAGAACCGATGTGACAGGGTGTGACGTGCGTATCTCCCTCATACGGGCCAGATGTGACAGATTGTGATGTGCGTATCTCCCTCATACAGAACCGACCGCCTCCGTGGTCTTGTGGTAGAGCGTCCACCCGGAGAGCGGAAGGTCCAGGGTTCGATCCCGGGCCGCGTCATACAAAAAGACGTTAAAAGATTGTACTTGTTGTTACCCTGTCTGGCGCTCGGCATTAAGGGGCTAAAACAAGGACTGGTCGGCTCGGAGTCAGTATACTGTGTCTGAGTGGGGTATTCATGTTAAACTGCGGCATGGTATCTCAGTGAGCTAGCACTATAAATCGGCATCAGTCCGGACTAGTACAAGCAGCCACACACACACATACACGTGCATGCACGTCGCTATATAAGTGCAATAATCTTGGACGCGACGTTAAACCCAATTTCACCTCACCTCACCTCATACAGAACCGATGTGAAAGGCTGTGATGTGTATATCTCCTTCATACAGCCAAGATGTATCAGGGTGTGACGTGCATGCCTCTTTCATACAGATCAGATGTGACAGGGTGTGATATGCGTATCTCCCTCATACAGACCTGATGTGACAGGGTGTGATGTGCGTATTTCCCTCATACAGAACCGATGTGACAGGGTGTGATATGTGTATTTCTCTCATACAGGCCAGATGTGACAGGGTGTGATGTGCGTATCTCCCTCATACAGAACCGATGTGACATGGTGTGATGTGCGTATCTCCCTCATACAAAACAGGTGTGACAGGATGTGATGTGTGTGTCTCACTCATAGAGACCAGATGAGACAGGGCGTGATCTGTGTGTCGCTCTCATACAAAACCGATGTGACAGGGTGTGATGCGCGTATGTCCCTCATACAGGCCAGATGTGACAGGATGTGGCGTGCGTATCTCCCTCATACAGTCCAGATGTGACAGATTGTGATGTGCGTATCTCCCTCATACAGAACCGATGTGACAGGGTGTGATATGTGTATTTCCCTCATACAGGCCATATGTGACAGGGTGTGATGTGCGTATCTCCCTCATAGGGATCATATGTGACATGGTGTGATATGCGTATCTCCCTCATACAGACGGGATGTGTCTGAGGCCGTACAGGCCAGATTTGACAGGGTGTGATGTGCGTATCTCCCTCAAGCAGGCCAGATGTAACAGGGTGTGATGTGCGTATTTCCCTGATACAGACCAGATGTAACAGGGTGTGACTCGCATATCTCCCTGAAACAGAACAGATGTGACGGGGTGTGATGTGGGTATTTCCCTCATACAGAACCGATGTGACAGGGTGTGATGTTCGTATCTCCCTCATACAGCACCGATGTGACAGTGTTTGACGTGCATATCTCCCTGATACAGAACAGATGTGACAGGGTGTGATGTGGGTATTTCTTCGATGAAAATCAGATGAAACAGGGTGTGATCTCCTTCATAGAGACCAGTTGTGACACGTTGTGATGTGTGCATCCCTCTCATACAGACCAGTTTTGACGTGCGTACCTCCCTCATATAGACAAGATGTCACAGGGTGTGATGTGGGTATCTCCATCATACAAAACCGATGTGACAGGGTGTGACGTGCGTATCTACCCAATGCGGATCAAAGTTGTTCTGGCGTGATATGTGTGTTTTATTTATACAGTAGTATTGGTTTCTTGTTTCCCGGCAGAGGCACAGCAATATTCCAAAGTGGTCACTGAAGTCTGGGAAAAGGAAACGAGCGAGTGAAAATGTCCTACAAATCAGAAGTTATAACCCATGATGTACGTGTATACATTCTACACACCAAATGTAACAGTGTGATATACGTGTCTACTTTGTACACACCAAATGTAACAGTGTGATATACGTGTCTACATTCTACACACCAAATGTAACAGTGTGATATACGTGTCTACTTTGTACACACCAAATGTAACAGTGTGATATACGTGTCTACTTTGTACACACCAAATGTAACAGTGTGATATACGTGTCTACTTTGTACACACCAAATGTAACAGTGTGATATACGTGTCTACATTGTACACACCAAATGTAACAGTGTGATATACGTGTCTACATTGTACACACCAAATTAACAGTGTGATATACGTGTCCTATCGATACAGACCAAGTGTGACAGGGCTCGATAATGCATGTATATATCTCAATCATGAAACAAAACATGAAATAATTCAACCCACTATGTTTAACATAGTGAATAACTCTTTGAGACATATTGATGCAAGGCGTTGGCATTTCCAGTCTACTCTCACCACCACGAATACGGTTGACCTGCAACACTGCACACCTCAACTTCAAATCTGAACCTGTTGATAAGGTGCCGTTATAGCAAACTGACGCCTTGTTAATGAATTGAAACATTTATTTTATCCCGTACATGAACTATAAATACATTGAGGTAAAAATGACATTTATCTTTGTACAAACATTTATCACAGACGGCTCTGAATGATGAACACTTCCAGAGACAATCCGACATCAGCCCCTTAATATGGCCCTGAATAGTTCTCCAAACTCAAAGCAGCGTGTCAGATCTAGCTCTAAGAATCTTCACTATAGCGCCTTGGTTGTATCTCAGTGCAATCTGCAATGGCGTTTCACCTCTGTTGTTTGTGGCAGATACTTCTACAGCTGACTCTGAGAGAAGTCGGTTTACAATTCCTACTGTCCCTGCGTATGCAGCATGGTGAAGGGTGTTGTTACCGTCATCATCCACTGCTGACAGACTACATCCTTTACCCACCAGGAGATCGAAAACCTTTTGATTACCCATCTCTGCTGCAGTCATCACCGGTGTTCTCCCAAACCGGCCTCGGCTCTCTATGTCAGCTACCTTGTGTGTGATGAGATACCCGACAATGTGCACATTGCCACTAACACAGGCAAGGTGAAGTATGTTGTTACCTCCATCATCCACTGCTGACAGGTCACATCCTTTACCCACCAGGAGATCGAACACCCTCTGCTGACCCTTCTCTGCTGCAAACAGCACCGGTGTTCTCCCTACCTGGCCTCGGCTCTCTTTGTCAGCTATGTTGTGTGTGATGAGATACTCGACAATGTGTACATTGCCACTAAAACAGGCAAGGTGAAGGATGTTGTTACTGTCATCATCCACTGCTGACAGGTTACATCCTTTACCAACCAGGAGATCGAACACCTGCTGTTTACCCGTCTCTGCTGCAAACAGCACCGGTGTTCTCCCAAACCGGCCTCGGCTCTCTATGTCAGCTGTGTTGTGGGTGATGAGATAATCGACAATGTGCACATTGTCACTAAAACAGGCAAGGTGAAGGATGTTGTCACCTCCATCATCCACTGCTGACAGGTTACATCCTTTACCAACCAGGAGATAGAACACCTGCTGTTTACCCTTCTCTGCTGCAAACATCACCGGTGTTCTCCCTACCTCGCCTCGGCTCTCTATGTCAGCTATCTTGTGTGTGATGAGATACTCGACAATGTGTACATTGTCACTAAAAGAGGCAAAGTGAAGGATGTTGTTACCTTTACCATCTACTGCTGAAAGGTTACATCCTTTACCCACCAGGAGATCAAACACCTTCTGCTGACCCTTCTCTGCTGCTGCCATCACCGGTGTTGTCCCAAAGTTGCCTCGGCTTTCTATGTCAGCTGTGTTGTGTGTGATGAGATATTCGACAATGTACACATTGCCACCAAAACAGGCAATGTGAAGGATGTTGTTACCGTCATCATCCACTGCTGACAGGTCACATCCTTTACCCACCAGGAGATCGAACACCTTCTGCCGACCCACCCATGATGCACACATCACCGGCGTTCTCCCAAAATTGCCTCGGCTCTCTATGTCAGCTATCTTGTGTGTGATGAGATGCTCGACAATGTACACATTGTCACTAAAACAGGCAAGATGAAGGATGTTGTAACCTCCATCATCCACTGCTGACAGGTCACATCCTTTACCCACCAGGAGATCGAACACGTTTTTATTGCCCACAGCCGCCGCCTTCATCACAGCTGTTCTGCCATACATGCCTTTACTGTCAATACTGACTACTGCTGTAAGATATTCTGTGATATCAGTATTACCACTTAAACATGACACATGAAGGATATTGTTGCCGTTGTCTAACACTGCTGAGAGATTGCACCCTTTCTTCACCAACACATCAAATATGTCTTTTCGACCTGTATTGGCTGCAAGAAGCACAGGTGTCCAGCCACCCTGGGATTTGTTATTTATATCTGCAGAACCAGTTGACAAAATGTTCTTTACTATCTCTAACTTTCCCTCCCGACAAGCCTCATTCAGCATGTGGTTCCTGTCATAGTAGATCAGCTTCATGTTGCCCTCTTGTATCTCCCACTTGGACGTTAGGTGAGGCATCTTCCCTGGAAATTGTCAAGTGTATTTGAAATAGAATGTTTGTAAATGTCCCTTTGTGACTTAAGAATCTAAAGGCTGGCATACATTGTCGACGCATTAGCATCGTTACTCAACGGTTGAGAAGGTTTGTTAAGATGGGCTCCAGAAAATATTCTTATTGTCAATCATAAGAAAATGGGATATGTTTCCTCGGAAACAGAATAGTGTTGAACTGACAAAAAATACAGTTTAATTTTGCGTCTGATACTTTGTTTCATTTGACTAAGAGTTTCCTTTAATCGGACGGACGGTCGAACGGACAGGGGCAAACGGACGGCTATCGGTCGTTCTTATTACTTTACAGACAAACTGGATATGCTAAAACATTCTCTTTGGAAATAACTATATAAGCGGCTGAAATTAACCTCATACATTTTATCAGTCACGCGAAACATTTATCCGTGGACATACTATACTAATAAGTTTGTAGATACTTGTAAACACAGGGGTCCATTAGACCATTTGTAATGATAATTCAATGATGTCATTTGTATCTAGTTGTAATCGTCAAATTATTGATAATTTGGGAGACACAAATAAACGACCATAACATTTTGTGAGTATAGCACATAGCATCTGTTCCAATGCATGAAAAACACATGTCAGTGTTCATGCCAAGTCTATCTTGTCATCACAGCGTGATATCAGCATGTGAGTTCAAAATCAACCCACTATTTAATTGAACAAAATATAAGACTATGCCTTTATAATAATTCATTTGGGTGAACTTGGCAATGTGTATGCAAACACTTGTAACATCTACATACAAGTGATTTCTACTCATTAGTGTAAACTAAGCAGTAAAGCTGCTAACTCTCTCTACAACATGTTCATGTACGATATATCTTCTCCTGAGAGGGAACTAAGCAATATATGTTTCCTATCTATGTAAGTTAATATCAAATCTTCCTGCGACAACATGCACGACAGATCAGCTCATGAAAAGGAACTGCGAACTGGACATGCGAATACAGTTCAATGTATTAATCACTTCCATGACATGCTATCGGAAAAAAGAGTCTTGATTTGTGAAGGCATATATATAGCTGTAAATCCCACCTTCTGTGTCCGACCTGTGTCCACCTTCTGAAACTGCGTCTGAAACCGACTCCGTATCGCCTTCGCCTGAATCTGAAAACAAACATCAAACTGTTGAAAAATAACTATATTTAAGCTACAAATACATGCACACAAAAACACTGGTGTTTATGGCTGTGTATTCCGTTCACGATCCTCATCAGCAATCAAGACACAAGCAGTTTAAAACAACAACATCAACTAGTGTCCTAAAGTACTGTGTAAGAAATGTATCTTTCCGTATTGCTCAAACTTAGAGAAGCTGCGCTGGATTCTGGAAGAGTTTAGAAAACCATTTGTTATTCCCTCACGTAGAAGATTACGGCATAGCAAGAAAGCTGCACTTATGATTCTGTATTTAAAATCGCTTCGTTCTGTGATGTTATTATTATTTGTCTCTAGGTGACGACCGCCTCCGTTGTCCAGTGGTAGAGCGTACGCCCGGGTGGGGAAGGTCCGGGGTTTGATCCCCGGCCACGTCATACCAAAACACGTTAAAAAGATGGTACTTGTTGTTACCCTGTCTGGCGCTAAAACAAAGACTGGTCGGTGTACTGTGGCTGAATGGCGTATTCAAGTTAAACTGCTGCATGGTATCTCAGAGGGCTAGCCCTATTAATCGGCATCAGTCCGGACTAGTATACGCAGCCACAAAAATACATACGTGCATGTACGTAGCTATATAAGATCCATAATCTTGGATGCTTCATAAATATGTGGTGACAAAAAATACCATTGACATAACAGCTGATTGTCTGAGTGAAAATTTTCAATATCGTCCTTAAAACAGACATGTTAGTGGTTGTTTAACATGTGTTAAAACTTAAAGCTTAAACCCACAGGAGTGCATTAACATGACACCAGTGCATGGTTGAGTGACACGGTCAGAGACAATTATAGTTTTTGTCCAGAGTATGGAATGTATGTTATCTATTCCATCAGCGCATGTCATACTGACACCAAACGGTCACACATGGATTAACATTACGTGCATATGATGGTTAAACTGGTGACAAATGAATAACAACAGAAGAAAATGTTTCATGTTGTGTAACATTGAGCCATGTATCAGGATGTGTTTTCTTTGTTCGTTGCAAGGACATACACTCTGACATATGACATCTGCAATTTCAGGGCTTGGATTTAAATAGAAATTAAGATGTGAGTCATCATCAATGATAGCCGATCCCAGCGTCAAAATAGCTGGCATAAACACTCACAGTGTCCGCTGGTTTCAGACAGGGAAGGGGCGTCAGATCGCATCCAAAGCATCATCCTGGTTTCTGAAAAACATAACTTGACCTGAACTATGCATCACGCAAGTTGTTTTTATCAGGGTCATTCAATCGTACTGTTTGTCAGTTACTGAAGGAACAGAGTGAATACAAACACGAGCGTGTGTACCTGCTTCTGCATTTTTTTCGAGCTCTTTAACTTTTCGCTCCAAGTCTGTTATCTGGTGTTGCATGGCATCAACAACTTCACGATGCTGAAACAAATTTCAGATAAAATTACATATGTGTAAGTAAATGATATTCCACATCATGTTTTTTCAAAACTAAGTAAAAGGTAAGGTAACATAAAACATCACATACATGGACTAAACTTATTTAAGATCTCAAACAAGAACTTAATGTTACTTAGTAATAATAAAATAACTACTATCCATAGTACATGAGAAATGCCTGGTCTCTGATCTCTGGTCTTAGGGAAAACATACCTTTAGTCCAGTCACACTGTCTATGTGAAGATCGTCATATTCTGGAAAGAATGAACAAAACCAGAAATAATACTTGTACGTCAACACTTTAGATTATACAGATATATATTTGATATATTCAGTTAATAAGGATTAGTAGGTTGTGACAATGTATCCATATTTATAGCTTTTCTATATTCAAACATGTAATTTTGTCCGTGGAAATAATTTACCTGATTCAACTGGATTTGTTGATTGATTTGTTTTTCGCATTTCAACATTTATTTCGATATCTCTGACACTGGTATTCATTGTGTGAATAAATTCAAGAAGCATAGGCTTGACTTGTGTTTGGTCCTTCATCATCCTCAGAGCATCTTCTTCAGTTTCGTGCATAAATACAAATATCAAACTTCCGTCTTCCACACTTTCCAAGTCAGTATTATAGGTGCGTCTGACCAAGTTCAGCAGGTTGTTGAGTGGTGTGACTACTATATCTCTTGTTAACAGTAACACAATTTCCCCCATCGCAGAACAGATCCAAGTTGTCTTTCGTGTGTGGTTGTATTCAGAAAAGTTGTAGTAGTATTTTCGTTCAACAGTTTCAGTTATTTCTCCGCGCTTCATCCTCGTAACTGAAAATGAAGTATATATGTTCATATATTTCACATACTAAGTAACATCAACTTCGTCCTGTTAATCATTATTGTGTGTACAGGTATCGGTACGCTGATGAACTAAGACTCTGTTGTTGTTGTTGTTGTTCCCATATTAAAAGAACACTTGTGATGAATCCTCTATAAATAACTTCAATAAATGATTCTGCATATTAACTTTAATCACATTGTACTGCGCTGTGACTATTCCAGGGTGACTATGCATGCACCACCATCCCCAATTCTCCCTTTTGTTATCTGTTTAACATACCTACCTTTTTCTTCCAATAAATACGGGACTACATCTCCATGGTGAGCCTCATAACGATCGTGTCGCCCCTTATCTGCAATATACGATTATCCACGTCAGTTTTTTGTACCCTTATCATGTACTATAACCTATAACCTCATGTACGCAGTGATATACCATACACAGAAACATCAAGTGTGAAATGTAAAATGTAATTCGCAATGAACAAAGATAACCCATTTCACAGCCACCAATAAAACAACATTATTATATACATCAGTGTGAAAGACTGAGTATTCTGAATTTGAGAAAAGTCATATTTTCATTGCAGTGAACATAACACTTGATATTTCACTGCAATGATCATAACACCTTCACCGAACTATTGTCATTCCCTCCCCCCCGTCACTCGAGATGAGAGAAACATGATATTCCACTCGACACTTGAAATATCCACTATTTACACAACAAATTAAAGTTACATTCCTTGTAACTTGAAATGTACTTTTTCTAATCCTTCTCTGTATTCGATCATATATGCACTACGTGTCTTGGTCCAGTGCCACGCCTATTGGTCTAAAATACACATCATCATGGACTATTCCAATCCTACCTGCTGGGGGGGAACTGCTGTGGACGTGGACATCTCCATGAATGACGCCAGCTTGTACTGAGAAGAAGAGTAGAAAGATTTCAGTAACTCTCAAAATATAATAACAGTAACGCAATATAAGAGTGGACATGAATGATACTATACAGTTGACAGGTTTGAAATGTGTACGTTCTTCCCTCGTTAAAGTACAGAATTTGAATGTCTCCTGCAACTGATTACACATTATTTCAATGATAGACATGATTTTCCATTGTTAGTGTTTCTTTGGAAATTAAGTATTGTCCTGTGAGTTAAATAGGTAACATCATGGCTTGTATGGGTCACGCGATGCAAGAACATGAGACTAGAAATGAACACAACTGCCAATAGAAATAGTAAATATTGTCAACATATTTCTCCTAACTGAAACATGTTTTCGATTACTCTATGTATATGAAGCATAAATTTAACGTTTTCAAAGGGTCCGTATGTACAGAAATATCCATCAATATTGATGTCACTCGTCATTTCAACACAACGAATTTTAATGAGAGACGTCACGAGACGTTTGGCCGAGAGCTGGAGGTTGTGGTTCTAAATACCCTGATCACCTTCGGTGTTGTGGATAGAGCGTCTGCCGAGAGAGCGGAAGCTCGGGGCTTCGATCCCCTGGTCGCGTCATACTAAAACACGTTAAAAGATGGTACTTGTTGTTTCCCTGCCCCGAGCTCGGCATTAAGGGGATAAAACAAAGGCCTGGTCCACTCAAAGTCAGTATACAGTATCTGAGTGGTGTATCCATGTTAAACTACGGCATGGTATCTCAGCGGGCTAGCACTATAAAACCAGTATATATTAGTACGGACTAGCACAAAACCAGTATATATTAGTACGGACTAGTACAAAACCAGTATATATTAGTACGGACTAATGCAGTCAGCCACACATGCACAGATATGTATGCACGCTGCAAGCATTGTCAACATATTCGCTTAAAATTTACAAGGGTGACCACAGACAGATGCAAGGTAATGACAAGACACTATGAATACATGCATCACCTTGACATCTGGTATTCTTCAGTCCTGTTGCCTCAAGATTTTCAACCTTGCTTTGACCTGTAGCGCCAGTAACAGAGACAGCTGGTGATTCTGTAAAATAGGTCTTTCAATCACAATTGGCTTTCATACTGAAATATCAGTTAGTCATTAACATATTCGTTTTTAATTTTTACACAACTGTGGATAAATATCAGGGTAAGGCAGTTACATTTCAGGTCATCACTTAGTCTGTCCGTATTGAGGGAAATACATAATGATTCATCCGTAAAGAAAATATGAAAATATTCTCCGTTAAGCTTACATACAAGGAGACGGAGTGAGTGCAGCTCTCAACAATATTCAAGTTATATCACAGTGTGTCAGTGGAGTGTTGCAAGTTTCAAACGTTGACCACCTTAGTGAAAGCCAAGAGCACGGGTATGGTGCTGACAAACCTAGAAACATAATTCGGACCCACAATCATAAGTTTCTGGCGCACGAGAATTGCACAGCGAACTGCAGCTCCTCAGACGACAGGGTCAGCCGTGTCCAGGTAAGGAGACGGAGGTGCATGCAGACATATCAATAATCACGATTACAATAACCATACAAACAAAGAATCATAAGATAAGTATAAGTAGATAACCTGCTCCAGGATTGCGAGCTGTCTGAGGTGAGGGAGCATCATGGCTTTCTCCTCCTCTGTCCGGAGGGACGTGTGTTGGGCTGTTCCTCTTCATAACTTCATTGAGGGGACCTTTGCAGATGGCAGTCCTGAAGACAAAACGTTCACTTACATGTACAACACTTGGGTGATATTGCATATAAGAGATATGTCAGACTAGAAATTGTGAAGGATTATTTTTTACTTATCCTCTTATTGACGCGGCCCATGCAGAATAACAGCGAGGGCAGTCAATTAAGGTCTGAGATAGCATGTCGCACTATAACAACAAACACATTTTACCGATCGTCCTTGCGTGATCCCCTGTAACTGTTTATCCACTGAAACCGGTTTACTACACACATACAGTCAAAACGAAGTTAAGATTAACTGGGTCGATATTGTTCAAGGTTGTATAGACATGGCTTGGGTGGCGTGTTGAAGACCCATAAAGTGTCATAGTAGCAACACACCATGTACACATCTACTTGGTTGGACGCTGTTCAACATATAGATCTATTTTTATCTGACATTTTATTATGGCAAACAGTTAATTACTTCCTCCGGCCAAGTACTCACTGCGTTATCATGTACCCTCGCTATGTTCCCCCATAACAACTGCAATACATTGTGTACAATGGTCAATGCACATTTCTGTAATAGCTGCTTCTGGACTTGAGCTTGGCTATCATATTCCAATCAGGTTGATTCCGATTGATTTCAATAAAGTGAAAAGGAAATTGGCTTGTAACCTGTCCTTTTTTGTAACAAATTACCTGGAAATTGGTGTCATGTCAAAATGAACAATATAGATACATGACAATCTACAACTTACGGTTATCCATTCAATCCCCTAACGAACACGTAAGAAGTTGATCTCAGTTAGAAGACAATGTAGCCACTATATTTTCAATAACCGTCGTTTGTGTTACTGAATGTTGCAGTGACTTTCATAGCCACGTACCTGTATGGCCGCCATTGCCACTCACATAACGGTTGTATAGAGACGAGGACCTGACCAAGATTACACTGTGATAACGCAATCTCTTCATGGACGAAATACTTCCTTGTAGAGGCAGACAGTGTTGATCATGGCGACTGTCACCACCCAGTAATAATACTGTAAGCGGGTGATATACCAAGAATTGACAACAGTTGAATCACGTAGGGTTTTTCACCTGTACCAAGTTTCTATGTCATAACATGACTGAACTACTGTTCAAACAGAAAATATAGCTTTAACTCACTCAAACACACACATAATCGTACAGGGTACTGTGGTGGTATACCCTATACTTGGGAAAACAGTTTCGCATTGCTGATCTCCACAGATTATTAGTTGCAGTCACCTAAAATACGTTGATGGGATTATTGTTTTCCTGAATATAGAAAATGAACAAATAGCACTACTTCCCGTGTTCTGTTATCGTTAAAGTCATATTTAATGCATTCAAAATACACTTTTTATATTCCTAATTAAGTTATTATCCCCTATACTTGGGAAAACAGTTTTGCATTGCTGATCTCTACAGATTATTAGTTGCAGTCACCTAAAATGTGTTGATTGGATTATTGTTTTCTTGAATAAAGAAAATGAACATACATGAACAATATGAACGTATTGAATTCACCTCGTTAAAGGCATATGTAATGCATAAAGGAATATGTATGAAGATGTTTTTCATAAGTACAACTATGATTAGGTTGTATTTATTACTCTAGTTGCAATGGTTTGACGACAATACTGGCTTCAAAGTGGCAGGCTGGGCCCTGTTCCACAAAGTAATTGTAGTGCTAAGATGATAGTTACTCCCATGTTGTAACCTAGACTTACGACATATGACCGCTACGATTGCTTCGTGGAAAGGAGCCCTTGATATAACATATCATTATAAAATTATAGCTGCATTTAAAAGACATCTGGCTATATAATATCACAGACATCAGAAGTTCTTACTGAAATGATGAGCTGTATATATGAAATAACCGCTCGAGCAATAATCTATGCTCTAAATGTGGCGTATCAAGTTATAAATAGTTGCACTCAACGGAGTCATCTGGCTTCATAATATCACATGAATTCGAATTTTGTACTGTTATCAGGATAAAGGAGTTTGAGTTACGGGTCTGGCACTTAGAAATCGTCTACATGCATTTCATCTGTATAATTTGCTTGTAACCTGTGTTCTTTTGAAACAAATCACCTTGAAATTGGTGTCAGTCATAATTATAAGCGGACATACATGGCAATCGTCAACTTACGGTTATCCATGAATCCCCTTAACGAACACATTGGTAGTAGATCTTAGGTAGAAGACAACGTAGCCACTGTGTTGCCAATAAACGTCGTTTGTGTACTGAATGTTTCAGCGCTGTCAGAGCAACAGACCTACTCAGATAACGAGTGTACAGAGAGGACGACCTGACCAAGATTACACTGTGTTCACGCAATCTGTTCATGTACGAAATACTTCCTTGTAGATACAGACAGAGTGTTATCTTGACGACTGTCACCACCCAGTTGTACTATTGTAAGCAGTAGAAATACCAAGAATTGACAAGCGGTTATTGGAAACAGGTTTACTAAACACGTACAGTCAATACAAGTTTAGATTAAATGGGTCGATAATATTCAAAGTTGCGTGTAAATGAGTTGGGTGGCGTGTTGAAGACCCTTAAAGTGTCATATTAGCAAAATATCATGTATACGTGTACTTGGTTTGAGACTGTTCAACATTTAGATATATTTTTATCTGACATTTTATTATGGCAAATAGTCAATTATAGTCTGGAAGGTAATTTAAGGTACCGACGTTTACTACAATTTCTGAAAAACTATCGGACCTACTAAAAGTTGGTATGAGATTATTAAACAGTCATACATAACTGGATATTACATTTAAAGACAATCGGTGCATGAATAAAGAATCTATCTATTTAGCTATCACAAAATTTCATCAACAACCAGACCTGTTCGTCACGGGTGGAACGAGCATTCATTAAAACAGCCATCTGCATAATGCTACCCCTACGTCACTGGGCCATATGACACAGTTGAACCAATCAACTCAACTCGAAAGGGTGCACGGGAATCACGCACACACGAATACGGTGATAGCTTTGGGCGTCTCAACGTGCGTGACTCCCATGTTGTAACATAGAATTACGAAATAGGAGCGCTACGAACGCTTCGTGGGAGGGAGCCCTGGATATAACATATACTGCATTCAAAAGAAACAGGTTGGCTATACTATCACAGGCATCCAAAGTTCTAACTGAAATGGTGAACTTTATATATGAAAAACCCTCTCGAGCAATTGTCTATGCTCTGAATGTTGTCTATCGAGTTATAAATAGTTGCATACAACGGTGTCATCTAGCTTCATAATATCACAGGAATTCGAATTTTGTACTGTTATCGGGATAAAGGAGTATGAGTTACGGGTCTGACGATTAGAAATCGTCTGCATGCATTTCATCTGTATACTCGACGGGCACCTGTTGTGTCGCCCCTAACAAATCGTCACATTCTACACAGACGTCAATGGTGTACACAACGTTGAAACTGGAGTAACATAGCTGGACATATGTTATGTTTTCAGAAGAGTCCCCGTTTACTTTGCACTTCCTTTGAAGGCGTGCTCGTTTCAGGTGACGTCCAAAAGAACGTCAAGTCAATGTCAACCTGACACAGATTTGGCGGTGGATCGATTATTGTGTGGGGTGGCATCACTTTGATTGACCGAGCCCCTCTACCTATTGTGCAAGGAAGGGTCACTGGACAGTACTATCGGGACAACACATTGACACCCTTTATTATCCCGTTTGCAAGGCGTGGGGTCGATGTTTTGCCTTTCAAGAGGACAACGCCAGCGTTCACCGAGTACGAATCATCAATGCTCACCTTCTGCAGCACATACATAGAATGCAATGGCCAGCAATGAGCCATGGCCTTTCCCCGATTGAATAAGTTAGGGACATGACAGGGAGACATGTCCAGGCGATGCAAGAGGAGTGAGACAGACTCCTTCAAATCGCCTCTCACACGCAGTATGCCTGTTAACGTGAATGTATGTTTGACAAATTGTGGCAGTATTACGAACTACTGATCCAAAAACTTCAACTTTGAAACTTTCAACCTTTCCATCTTATCCCTAACGTTCTTAAAGATCGTTTGCGGTCGTAACATCTACTGTCATAATTCACTACCGCATATAATGGTTCCCAAGTCGTTCATTACTATCATCTGTTATTAGAAACTAATATCGCTTACAAGTTTTGAAAATTGATATTATTAACAGTATTCTAACGACTCTCATTTTGTCCAAGTGGTAGAGCGTCGGCTAATAAATGCAACGATTAGCTAAGCCGGCGAGCAGGGGAAACGCGTTCGAGACCAGCGCTCATAGGATCTGAAAAAGTGCGCCCGGTGTAGTACACCACTAATACTTTGACACGTGGCAAGGCAGCGACAGTCAAGGGAAAAGTGGAGCATGTTATGAAATAGCGAGTTGTCTCCCTTAGACCAGAAGAGACTTATTCGTCAAACGAACATGCCTTTTTCATTTCGTTTCAACCTGTGTGAGTACCTCTTGTTTCCATTCACGTCAAGATTGGCTAGGGTTGTGTGAAATATCGACTTACTTTAACCATATCATGTCAGTGTCATTGTGTATAATATATTTCATAAGAAGATATTAAACCCCTGGCGTGCTTCCGTGGGGAGGTGGAGGGGTGGTAACGGCGTTCCCCAGAAGTCAGACTTCCATTACGGCGAGGAGCTGTATTTCTATAACAGATTGTATCACTACATACACATGCGGTAAGATCAAAACCACGTTGAAAGTAAACCGGATGTAAATACTGATATCCAGAATACCAAATGGCTGGTCAACACACCTGCTTTTTTTGGAGGATATGGTAGTTCATTGGCGTAAGTGTTCCCAAACTCCAATTCCCAAGACTGGTATGCACTGCCCATGACAAACTTGTTGCAGATAGTTAAGTGGTGAAAGTGTTCTTCCGGTTCGCTTTCCTAGATGAGTATACACTGTGAAGCCCATGACAGACTCATAGCAGCTGGCAAATATGCTGGATTTGAGCGATGATGTGTGCAGCTGGAGTGATGAAAGTGTTCGCAAGGTTCCATTCCCTAGATATAGATACACCGTGAAGCCCTTAGCACTGACCAGTTTCAATGAACGTCAAGTCAATGTCAACCTGACACAGATTTGGCGGTGGATCGATTATTGTGTGGGGTAGCATCACTATGATTGACCGAGCCCCTCTACCTATTGTGCAAGGAAGGGTCACTGGACAGTACTATCGGGACAACACATTGACACCCTTTATTATCCCGTTTGCAAGGCGTGGGGATCGCTGTTTTGCCTTTCAAGTTTTGAAAATTGATATTATTAACAGTATTCCCTCTTAATATATTCCCTACTGATACATTCCCTAGATTATATTTTGGATATTTCTAAGGACTCTCACTTTGTCCAAGTGGTAGAGCGTCGGTTAAGTAATGCAACGATTTGCCTAGCCGGCGAAAAGCGCCAAAATTCCAAGCTCTCTGATGTCTCCAAAACGTAAATACATTCCCTTTGTAGATTTCTATCGTGTTTTTTGCACGAAATGTTTTGCCACACATCCTTTGAATATTGTAGTAACCGCATCTGAGCATTTTGTAACCTGTAATTGTATATTTATCGTTCACCACCATCTGTTGTCAAGGCTTGGTTGCATTTATGTGACACGTTTCAGACTCTCACAAATTGCCATACGCCCTGCAACACTGCACTTTAAATGATGATGTTGGCTTTAGGTTCAGTCTCATGATCAACACGTGACTACGAACATAGTTACTCAAACACCACAAGAAGGTCATCAGTTTTTCATGCAGTAAGTCCCCATGGTCCCTGGTATGGTGATCTCCCTTTAGTTACTGACGATCGCCAGCCCATTTTTATATTGTGTTGTTCACTAATACTTATGACTTTTATATATTCTCAACTAGTTTTAAATAGACTCTGTGATATTCTAGTTATTGTACTGTCCATCGTTGACAGCTTTTTATATTGTCTAAATATGTGTATTATTAATGTACTTCTCGTCACGATATGGCTGAAATACTGCCGATGTGACGTTAAATCTTAACTCACTCACTCAGTTTACATGGCATCAACCCCCATACCACAACAAAACATTGCGTATTTAAAGTGTTGTGTTGAAGTTGTGTTTTAAAAGAGAAAGGTGTACGAGTGAAGGCATAACCAAACACAGGATCTCATGTTTATTTCGGCACATATATCATTAACCAAAACCATCACCCAGCGCCATATGACACTAAGATGTACCCATAAGTAACACATGACCACGTCTGTTTGATCCGCAAATATGCAGTTAAAAAAAAAAAACGCAATACGGATATTTTTGGCCACATAAGCAAAATTAGCAAAAATAATCAGCAAATATCAGCGCACCAAGAGGTGCAAAATGAAGAGGTTTAATGTGTTAAAGTGACAGTGACAAATTTCCCGGATCAAAATGATCACAAGAAGCACATGCAAACCAGTAGTCGGGAAACGCTCCCAATGCATTAACAAAAGGGCCATGGAGCTGCACGCACTGCACGTGCACCAGAACTTTAAACGGTTTTAAAGTGCAGGGTTTTTGATTGCCTGGCATGGGATCAGTTTCAACCGCATGGGTCAATACATGATGGGCCGAGGTCGGGACGACCAAGAGTAAGCACCCCCGCCCAAGATCGCTACATCCGACTGCACCACCTACGTGAAAGGACAACAACAGCCACCTCAACCGCATCCCAAATACTCGGACTGCGTAGAATCTCCGAACAGACCGTACAAAACTTTTTAAGAGCAGACAACGGCTGCATTGGTGTAGTCTACACAGGGTATGACCTAAACTGCGACGGAGCTCGAGATGCCTGGTTAAGTGACGAATCAATATTTCTCCTGCGTCAATGGATGGAAGAGCACTGGTCTACAGATGCCTGGGACAATGTTATGCTGGAAACTGCGTACAGGAATTGGACAGGTTTGGTGGAGGTAGCGTTATGATGTTGGTGGCTATCTCTCACTATGGCAGGTCAGGTTTGGTGCATATCCAGGGCAATCTTACGGTTCAACGATACATCAAACAAATTCTCCTACCCACACGTCCTACCAATTGCAGCCAACGGCAACGGTGTATTCCAGCAGGACAACGCCAACGTTGATGTTCTCCCCTGGCCCGAGCACCTATGGAATGAATTGGACAGATGGCTAAGCCGACGTCACCCACAACCCCAGGCGTTGCAGAAGTTAAAGACTTTTGCGTTGCAGGCCGAGTGGGCTACCATTCCCCAGGATGTGTTTCGCATACTCGTCTCTTCCATGGGCTGGAGATGACAGGCCGC